GGAAGACTCCACAGGAGGGGGGCCTTGTTGGGCAGAGTCTGGGGTCTTTAAAAAGTCAGGCTATTGGAGGCCTGTTGTGACTTGAACTGTGCCCCCTATACATCGGTGCTGTAAATCCTACACCCTACCTAGACCTGTGGAGATGCGCCCTCGTGGTTGTTAAGCAGAAGGTCAAGATCTGGCGATCGGTTCCTGTAAATGACAGCCTGGGAACCCCGATGGGGGCAGGTCTACCCTGTGATGCGGGGTCACTGTGAGTCACAATCAAATTGAAGACACACAACAATACTATGGGGTGGGGGTGGGGGGACAAAACAAAAACCTCACCGCCGTAGAGTCAAATCTGACTCATAGAACAGAGTAGACAGGGACCCCAGGGGGACGAACAACAGAAACGTGGGTGAAGGGAGACAGCAGGTGGTGTAAGACATGAAAATAATAGTACTTTATAAATTATCAAGGGTTCACGAGAGAGGGAGGGTGGGGAGGGAGGGGCAAAAAGAGGAGCTAATACCAAGGGCTCAAGTAGAAAGATAAATGTTTTAGAAATGATGATAACATGTACAGATGTGCTTGATACAATTGATGTTTGGAATGTGATAAGAGCTGTTTCATAAAGATTAGGAAATAATGATAATTTGTAAAAAAACAGAGTAGAACGGGCTCCGTGAGTTTCTAAGACTGTAACTCTTTTTTTATCCCACAGTTTTATTGGCACGTAATTTACATACCACACAATTCAATCGTTCAATCATTCCATCCTATCAAGAAGAATTGTACAATCGGTACATCAATTTTAGGATATCCGCCTCCCCCCACTGCGTCCATAAACCCTAAAATGGTTTAGGATTTAACCACGACCATGGTTAAATCGCCTTTAAAATGAGTTGTGCAATCACAGTCATTTCTAGTGTTCCCTCCCACCTCCCACCTTCATATTTTATTCCCCAAATCTCCTTTCCCTCCCTATCACCCCACCCCACCCCTACATACCCTATCCACCCTTGTCTCAGTTGTTATCACTGTACCCCCACTCCTCCTGGGCTTTCAAAACTGGGGAACCCCCCAGAAACAATGAAAAACAAAGTCGAAATAAGGTGGTAGGGATAAAATCATAATAATATAAAGACCGAGATACAAATAATGGAAGAAAGAAAAGACTGCCTCCACGATCCCCATCAACATTTAAAACGCCAGGGAAGACGTTTCTGTCGTGGAACAGATAAGAGATACTTGCACCAGAACAAATTCAGGTCAGGCCTGGTCTCTGCTTGAACTGTAACTCTTTTCAAGAGTAGAAAGTCTTTCTCCCTTAGCACAGCGAGTGGCTTTGAACTGCTGACCTTGCAGTTAGCAGCGTACCACATAACCCACTGCACCACCAGGGCGCCTTACGTGACAATGCTGCAAACGGTTCATGGAAAATGGAATGAAAAGATAATGGAGTTTTCCCAGGAAGTTTTGGAAGCGCCCTTGTACTTGCGGATGCAATCCCATTTGGGAATAGGGTTTTCTCGACTATGTTGGGGAGCCCCTTATCAGTGTAGGGAATGTCTTCAGCCAATCCCATGGGAGCTATAAAAGGAGTGGATTAGGTATAGAAGCAAACAAG